ACAACACACACACACACACACACACACACACGCACACAAGAAGGAAACAAACTGTAACCAAATGCAAAGTATTACAAGGGCAAACAAGGACTATATCAGTTGTATGGTCTCTCTATCAAGATGACCAAAATTATTTCAGTCTATTTACATTTTTGTGTGAGAGTATATATTATTTATGTGGGGGGGTACTGGGAGTTGAAATCAAGGCCTCTGCACTAAGCTACATTCCCAGCCCTTTTTTATTTTGAGACAGGTACTTACTAAGTCACTAAGTTGCCCAGGCTGAGCTGAAACTCGTGGTCCTCCTGTGTTAGCCACCCAGAGTGCTGAGACTTACAGGCATTTGCAACCACACCTGGCTCATTCTTGTATTACATATAACACTTGAAGTCTTCTTTATTGCCAACATTATACTTAATAGCCATTTATGCCTTTTCTTACCTCTTGTGTTAATTTTGGTATGAACCTCAAGCTGGGGATCACTTGAAACCATACAAGGCCACCAAGGATAGGTTCCCACCTTGGACCATACAAGATCGCCAACCTGGAACTTAACACCAGTAGATACTTCTGTGGCTTGGGCAGAAGATAGTATGGGTTGAACCTACAGGAAAAGTTCACAAAACTCCATCAAAAGTGAATTAAAACAAACAAACCTTGTACTACTTACACTAAAAATGCTAACTATGTAAAATTTAATTATACTTTTCTTTGCTGGGCATGGTGGTGCATGCCTGTAATCCCAGCACTCAGGAGGCTGAGGCAGGAGGATCGCTATGAGTTCAACATCAACCTGAGCTACATAATGAGTTCCAGGTCAGTCTCAACTACATAGTGAGACCCTGTCTCTAAAAAAGAAAAAAAAAAAAGAAAGAAAGAAATTATACTTTTCTTTGATATCTGCTCCGTATGACTAGTAAAAGGGAAGAGGGGGAAACAAAATAAGCCCTATCCGAAATATTGTACTGAGAATAGGACTGTTATTGCCAAATTATTAATAAGACATCTTAAAATTCTAATGATCAATAAAAATAAATTTTTAAAGGAAAATAATTAACTGAAAACATCTACTTTTATTTTTTTTTTTAATTTTTGAGACAGGGTCTCCATGCGTAGTTCAAACTGGCCTTGAACTTACAGTGATCCTCCTACCTCAGCCTCCCGAGTGCTGGGATTACAGGTGTGCACAAGCACACCCAGCTGAAAGTATCTACTTCTTAAACCAGTTCCAAGATTTATTTCAGTGTGACTTCTAAAAGATGTATGGAGGGCTGGGGATTTAGCTCAGTGGTTCTGCGACCTGCCTCCCAAGCAGGTCCCAAATTCAATCCCAGGTAACAACAATACACTATGTTGCAATTGAATCACTTTACTTTTTCCTTCCTCTCAACATCACATCTAGTCAGATAGTACTCAACAAAGCAACTCACCGAGACTGAGTCTTTCAGCACTGGCTCTTCTCTTGGCTTTTCTGGCGTGGAGTCCACCCTCTCATTTGGTCTCTAGGTGAAAAGGTGGGGGAAATAGAATAAAGTGGCAGCAAACCAAGGCACAGTGACATTAAAAAATCAAATAAGGGCAGGAAATTTAGCTCAGTGGTGCCACCGCCTGCCTCGCAAGCACAGTGTCCTGAGTGTGAGTCCCGGTTCCAAAAATAAATAGAAATAAAAATATGAAAGAAAACTAAACAGCAAAGACAATAAAGAGGACACTTGTTAACTGAACAATGTAAGGAGTAAGAATATGTCTCCCACTACTTCTTTGATTACTTTCAAAATGAAAATTTTTTTTGGTACCAAGAATTGCACTCAGGAATGCACGCTTGCCAGGTAGACACTGAGCTATATTCCTGGCCCACAAAACTAAATTTCTAATTAAACTATCATTTTAACCTCTCAGAAAAAAAGGTGGGGGGGGCACTCAAATTGTTCATAAGATAGAACCTAAAGCTTTTCTGGAGAACAACTAGGTGATACGTATAAAAAGCCTTAGGTTTTCAGACTCTAACCCAGAAAATTTACTTCTAAACATGTGTACTGAAAATATTGAGATGTAATCTACCTGTCTATAAAACTTGGAAGCACTATCTGAACTCAAAATATGTATACTCCTCAATTTAGCAACTAATTTCAGAAACCTGCCCTACAGAAACACACAAAACAAACTAGCCAGAGATAATGACTACAGTTATTATTTCATGTTGCTAATATTACCTCTTCTAATTTTTACCTTATAATAGTCTATATAGACCAACTTGGTAACAGTAATTATCTTTTTATCTTTTGAGAGCAGAATTATGGAAATGGTAAAGAAAGATCTGTGCTTTTTTATCATCTTCATCTGTAAAGATACATTATTTCTATAATTTGAAAGATTTAAAAAATTTCCTACTTGTCAGAGAGCAGAACTCAGACAGTTTTAAAAGAGGGTGTGTGGTGCTGCATACTGTAAACTCAGTGCTTTGGTGGCTCAAGTTAGGAGAATTACCATAAATTTGAAGCCAGCCTGTTCTACACTGTGAATTCAAGACCAGCCTAAACTACACAGTGAGATCCTGTCTCAAAAAGTAAGAAAGAAAAAATCAAAGAGAAAATAAAGCCAGGTGTGGTGGTACATGCCTGTGATCCTAGCATTTGAAAGGCTGAGACAATGGTATTGTTTGAACCTCAAACAATAGGAGTTTGAGGTTAGGCTGGGGTACTAGTGAGTTCATGACCAGCCTGAACTACAGAATAAGACTCTGTCTCAAAAAACCAAAACCCAGAGGTGGGTGTGATGGTACATGTATGTGATCCCAGCATCTGGGAGGCTGAGGCAGTGGGATCACCATGAGTTTCAGACCAGCCTGAGTAACATAGTTCAGAGCCAGCCTGAACTACAAAGGGAGAACCTGCCTCAAAAAAGCAAAACATAATAAAAAATAAATAAAAATAAAAACCAAAACCCAAAACAAATAGCAAGGGGGGGGTATACAAGTATAACCAAATCAAATTTCCCCATAAAGGTAAAAACTGAACCTAACCAATGAATTTGATTTGGTTCTCGTCCAATTTGGTTTGTGACCAGAATTGTGGAAAGAATTGTTTATGAACTGAGTGAGATACCATTGTATACATTAAATTAGGTTTAATTAAACTGGGTACAGTGGCTGATGCAGGAACATTCCAAGTCAGGTTGGGCTACACAGTAAATTCAAGTCATTCTGAACTACACAGTGAGAACCTGCCTCAAAAAACAAAACAAAAACCAACCAAACAAAAAAAACTAGGTCTTCATTCTACTGGAAGAATGTTGTTAATTCTAAAAGCTACTTAAAATTCTCATCTGATGATTTGCATGAGATTTAGACACTGTTATAAAAAGTTTTGTTTGGGGGCTGGGGTTTTAACTCTGTGGTGCTGCCACCCGCCTTGCAAGGGCAAGGTCCCGAGTTCGATCCCCAATACCCAAAAAATAAAAAAAAGTTTCATTTGGGAAAAGATAGTACTGCAAGTACTGTTTTTAACTGTTAGGAAAATGATATATTATGTGAGGCAGACTAACATCCCAAGCACTAAGACTCAGTAGTCACTTCGTGGTGCCTTTCCTAGTCCAGGCACAGCTCAAGGAACTGGGTCTCTAATGGAAAAACAAACAGATGCAGCCGTGGTCCCTGACCCAAAGGATCTTACACTAAACAGACAGAAACACAAATATCCACTTACTAGTGCAAGAGCTCTGTGAAGAGAGAACTGTTTATGTGTAGTTTTAGATATGAAGGGCAGGAAAGGCATCTCACAGGTCACATTTGAGAACCAAAGGGGAGTTACCAGAGTAAAAGGAAATGGACAGTACAGGAAGAGAGAGTAGGATGTCTGAGGTACCTGGATTTAAAAGGTAGAAACTTTAAGAAGTTTCTTGGGCCAAACAGCCCGAGGAAGAGCAAGGTTACAAGACAAGACAAGGGCTGAGAATAGGCAAGATCATGAGGCTGTAAACTACACCACAGTAAAGTGTTTGGATTTTATCGAAGTGCAATGAAAAGCCACCAAAGTCTAGGTAGACAAGGAATAAGAATCAATGTTATGTTTAAAAAGATCCTGCTGGCTGTGAGGTGGGCAATATTTTGGAAGGGGGAAGAGGGAGAGCAGAATATTTAATTGGGAAGTCACTGCTATAATCCAGGTTAAACAAGTGATAGTTTGTTGACAGATACAAAGCTAGCTTTCTTCGATGCTTCTGTAGCAATAACCACAAGCATCTAGTAGGACACCTTTATTAAAGAAGAAACCCTATGTCCAAATTTGAAAACTGGACTTCTGGTCACTAGAGTGATAACGAAGTGATTCAGAACTGCTGCCCATGTCTGTGCAGCCCACAGAAGCTCCAGCTTCAATTCCAGACCCAGCTAAGCACTCACCTTAACTCCTCACCTTAGCTGTACTGCAGCAGGGCAGAAGGGTAACTAACTTGGGGAGAACACCACTGGCTGAAAGTGAGTCACTCTCGCCCACACTCTTATCTGCATGACATTAAGGGAAGGGAACTCTAAAATTTTTCTGAAGGCAGATAAGGAGTAATTTTTGCCATACAGTACTGCCATAAAATATGTAATTGTTTTGTTTTGTTTTTCCTTTTGGGGAGGGTACAGGAAGGTACCAGAAATTGAACGCAGACTCTGCACTGAGTTACATCCCCAGCCTTTTTATTTTATTCTAGTTTAGTTTTTTGAGACAAAGTCTAAGTTGCCCAAGTTGACTTCCAACTTGTGATACTCCTGCCTCAGCCTCTCAAGTAGCCTGAACTACAGGTGTGTACCACTGTACCCAGCAGTAAGATTTCTTAAACAGAAAAAAGAATTATGTTAAGAGGGCAACTAAAATAAGCTACATTATTCTAAATAATCCTTTAAAATTTTTTCTCTACAGGTTATTAAAACCTAAAAATTTCACTAAGATTAACAGCATGCATTATACCTAGCAGAATTTCAAGCTCTTAATAATACAGGTATTACCTAAATAAATTTCAAAAACATTAAGCAAAATTATATTTTGTAGAAGACTAAAAAGCTGTCAACACTCAGGTAGGAAAAAATGTAAAGGCACTTGAAAGGCATAAAAACATTTCCTTTTCCTTTTTCTTTTTGTTGTTTTTTTCTTAGTACCAGGGATCAAACTTTGTTTCCCTGCACTTGCGAGGCAGGCAATGGAACCACTACTACCCCTGGCCCTCCTTTTACTTTCTGAATAATAAAATTCATAATGTTAAAAAGCAAAGAATTGTGTATAGAAAAAAAAAGATTTACATATGAACATTCTCTAAAAACTGAGGCCCAATACCGAGAACTAAACTTCTGACTCAGTGTTACTGAGACGATCTAGCCACCACCTCTCAGGAAGTGGGCGTGGGCTAAGAGTTAGCGAGTGGCTATGGTGGATAAGCCCACTCAAGTGCTAGGGAAAAGTGGTGATGATTTGACCAAGGCCTCCACTCACATGCCTCAGGCATTACGCCAGCCAAAGGAGGAAGACTGAAGAAACCTTTTCACATGTTTCTAATTTGGTGGGAGGAAAAACAGCTAAAGCAGATTTTTAAAATACACAATTTCAGTGATGATCTCAGGTCTCCTGATGCCTAGAAGTTTGAACACATTTTCATTGCTGAGAAGATACACTTGTTCTAAATATCAGCCATTCTTCAGAGGGCCAAAGAGCTCAGGAGGAATACTGAGGAAAAAACGTTGTGGGTAAAATCGTGAAGTGAATAGTGAACAGATAAAATTGTTTGCTAAAAAAATCAAAAAACAAGAAACAGAGTGAAGGAGGGTAGGAAGAAGGTGGAAACCACTTCTGACATTTTCTCCTGGCCTTCAGTTCTGCATTTTCCTGAAGGCTTTGGAAGAGGGGCGCTGTCCCCATAGCATCAGCAGACCCCATTCTGGGCTTCCTCTCTAAGCCAGGTCTTCTACGATGCTAATCATGAAGGGCTGGCACCCAGGGACAACCAGGAGGCAGTTCGAGAAAGTATCAAAAATTAAAACACTTGGGTTGGGGCATGGTGGCACACACCTGTAATCCCAGCACTCGGGAGGCTGAGGCAGGAGGATTGCTGTGAGTTCAAGAACTGCCTGGGCTACACAGTGAGCTCCAGGTCAGTCTCAACTACACAGTGAGACCCTGTCTCAAAAAACCAAAGCCCAAAAACAAACAAACAAAAACACCTGGGCTGGGGACTTAACTCAGTGGTTCCGGCACCTGCCTCGCAAGCGCAAGGTCCCAAGTTCAATCCCCAGTACTGCAAAAAAAAAAAAAAAAAAAAAATTAAACACTTAAAACAATTGTACTCAGGGAGCAGAACAGATGTTATTCAAGTTAAGGAAATGTAACTGAAAAACACATAAAGGTATAAAACAGACGCATTTGTACACAGCTCTAGTTACTGTCTGGTTCAGCAAAAAGCACAACACAGGATAAGCAAGACCCTTGGCAGCTCTGGCCTTAAAATTTCATTATGACATCTACTTAAGCTTACAATTGCCTTCGTGTGTGATAAAATTTTAATTCATCAAAATTCAACTAACCAGACTTAATTAGATCTTCACTTTACTTTTGGAAAGAAAGGAGGTGCGAAGGAGAGAAGAGAAAGAAAGCAGAGGATGGAAAGATGAAGAGAGAGAGGGAGAGAGGTAAGGAGAAGGGGGGAGGGGGAGAGAGAGGAAAAACTCCTGGATGTCCCCTAAAAACCAACTTGCAGCCAATGGTATTAGTAATATTGAGTGCAATCAATAACACATTCTACATGTATACTTTTTTTTTTTTTTTTGGTAGCAGGGATCGAACACAGGTTCTTGAGCCTGCAAGGCAGGCGGCAGAACCACTGAGCTACGTCGCTGGCCTCTACATGTATACTTTTTGATCAAAACTGATTTTTCTTTACCCTAAAATATTTTAAGATCCTAAAAAATCAAATATTAAATTATACTCAGAAGACTCACTAAAAATAAAACTCTTACATTACATATAATCACGTAAATCCTGGGATATGATAGTTAACTGAAGGTTTAAGTGGTATAAAGCGACAAGCATAGGAGATATCCAACAAGATAGACTGGTTTTATTTACTGATTGATTGATTTTGGTTTTTTGAGACAGAGTCTCAATGTGTAGTTGAGACTGACCTGGAACTCACTATGTAGCCCAGGCTGGTCTCGAACTCACAGCGATCCTCCTGCCTCAGCCTCCTGAGTGCTGGGATTACAGGCGTGTGCCACCACGCCTGGCCACAACAGACTGGTTTTAGAATCTATCTGTAAAGTGACTAGTAGAAACATCATTGCAGTAGGGATGGGGATATAGCTCAGGGGTGCTGTGCCTGCCTGGCAAGCTGAAGGTCCTGAGTTCAATCCCAGTTGAAAGGAGGAAGGGGAGAAAGGAAGGAGGGGAGGGGAGGGGAGGAAAGGAAAGATCCCTGCATTGAATTTTTCCTAGATTCTAATAAAGCACAAGGACTTGAAAATACCTTCTTTTATCTTGACACTTAATAGCCTCTAGCCCCTTTCATTTTGAGATATATTTTTAACTAACTTTATTAATAAAGGCAGAAAGCCTAATCTAATATGTAAATTTGAATACACTCCTATTTGCCAGATTCTCTACAGCAAAACCAATACAGGCCAGCAACACAGTTCTCAAGCACTAATAAACTAAAGCAAATTCAGGTTTTAGGTATTTCTGTGATTCCCCAAAGCCAATATACATGACATGTCCCTCAATACAGGTCTAGGTAAGAAGGCTACTGTAAATGTCACTGAAGTCAGTAGCTCATTTCTCTTTCCACTTATTCATTTACTCAACAGACAGTCAATGAATGACACTGTGGGCTAGGTTTGGGGAGGGGGCTGATAAATGGCGAAAGAATTCTAAAGCCTTCTTCTTACTTATGCAGAATACTAAGACATCAGAACAGCTAATGTGTCCCTGATTACACACTTTTATTTTCTTCACAGCTTTGATGCTATCTGAACTTATGTGCCTAGCTCTGATGCTCTCCCCACCGGAATCTGAGTATCCTGAGAGCAGCGACTTTGCTTTTACTCACTGCCACACCTCTATTTGTAGAACAGTGCCTAGCTCAGAGTAGGCATCCAAACAGTATTTATTTATTAAATGAGTAAGAAAATGATAGAACAATGAGAAAACATGTTGAAATGCCGCACTAACCTATGAAAACCTAGAACCATTGTGACTTTACTCCAGAAAAAAAACATACTGGAGCTGCATGGGGTAATGGAACCCAGCTACCAAGGGAAAGATGAGTTAGTAAGAAGTAAATGTGAACAGAAAACAATAAATTAGCTTATTCAACAGTTAGCTAGTAAAAGCAGGTAACTTTTATCTAAATAAACATATAACATTTTCTTCCCAAATCAATGTCTAAGAAACATCTGCAATTTATATCAACATTGCATTCAAGTTAGAATTGATAGGTCACACAATAACTATTATTATTACATTATTGCTATGCAACTTGACTTTGAAACTCAGATACAGTATTTAATAAAATCAGCCCCATACATCTTAAATTACCTATGAAGAATGAATTTCATAAAATACCACCTGTAGTTTTAACTACTACATATGAATATTGATTTTAATAAAAAGGACTCTTTTACATCAGTTTATTATGTAGCAAACAAATTAGCAATGAGTATTAAATCTAAGCTCTACCAGAAAAAGTTGGTCTAAAATAAATGAATGAAAACCCCGTTTCTGTGCTTTTCCTCTTCAGCTTCAAAAACCAGTTTATTATTAGCAAGTAAAAATAACTAAGGGTCTTACAACAAAGAAACATAAACAAGATTCTTGATGTTACATGATTTAAAAATAGTTCACCTTAATAATGTCCATTTATTAAAAAAAAAATTTACTCAGTCCCTGTAATATTCCAAGCACCTTGCTAGTAATTAGAAGTCACCAGAAATATTCATATATGAAGTGATAAATGCTAAGAAAAATCTCCTTGATTTCTAATACATGAGAAATGTTACAAAATTTTTCAAAACAGTGTTTCAACTTACATTTTGCTCCTCTGATTCTAATTTGGGGATTTTGTGTGACTTGCGCTCTTCAGATCTAGATGAATCATGCTTGTTGCTTTTTTTCCTTTTTTCTTTTCTGCTTTCATGCTTTGACTTTGTATGTTCAGTTGCCTGTACTTCATTTAAAAGGTCTCCACAAAGGGAAGACTCAAATAATTCCCTGCCATTCTGGATAGTTTTGGTTATTTTTAGTTTAATTTCAGGTGAGCCAGTCTTCTTTGGAATCACAGTTTGTGGTACCGAAGGAGGAGGTGGTGGTGGCTGTGGAGGGGAAGGTTTTTCTAGAACTTCATGTGGTCTCGTATTTGGAATTTCTGAATGGTAATAGTCAGGGGGGCTAAAGTTTCTAACTGCACCAAAGCCATTGGCTGACCCATTGGGATACTGATTATATGACTGGTATTTGGTTTGAGTTTCATACATGCTGATTGATGGTGGGTAGCCATTTGTAAGTGGAGGAAGGTCTTCTGTTGTAGGTGGGTACTGAAAGCCTTGCTGCAAGGTAGCTTCATACGGTGTCTGGCCACCATCTTCAACAATGTCACTGCTGTTATCAAAGGCATCCTCCTGACGGATGTTGGCGGAGTCAATGAGTTGAGGTGGTTGCTGAATTGTGTTTCCCATGATCCCTTGCATGAAAGAGAAAGAGAAATCCATTGTTCTGCTCCAGCATCCTTAACTGTCCCTTTCTCTCATCGGGCCTAAAATAAGAAAAGAAGAAATGAAAAGGTACTAATATCCTCATATGCAAGAGGCTAATCAATTGAAAAAGGATTAAACTATAATGTTTTGAATTTAATTTTCATATCAGATATGCACAGACATTAAATATTTCTAAAAACAGATAGCCAACATAAAATACAAGGCAAATATATTTTATCTTAAATGGTTATTGGTTAAATTCCTGATTATTTTTTATAACAATTTTGGTAACAAAATTTTATCCTCTTTCTAAATGTTCAAAACAATTTTGACATTCCTTTGTTTCCCTGTTACAGATTATTAAGATTAAAATCGTAAGGGCTGGGGGTGTGGCTCAGTTGTGCTGCCCCTGCCTGGCAAGTGCAAGGTCCTGGGTTTGATCTCTGATACTGCAAAAAAAAAAAAAAAAAAAAAAAAAAAAAAGATTGAAATAAGCTGCATTCTGCATCTATGGCTTAGTTTCCATCATTCCCATTCTTCTATGTTACAGACCACAACTGTAAACACTTTGGTGGGTACTCATGCACATCTTTCTCTATGTTTACTTATACATTTTAAAAATAGGGCTTATTCTGGCTTGTTTCACTTAATATTTCCTAGACGTATTTCTGTATCAGTATATATAACTTTTATACATACTTCATTCCTCACATGAAGAGTAAACATGTCACTATAATGCAATCATTTCTATAATGCATCCTGCATCTACCTCTAATAAGTCTTCTCATGTCTTTAGAAAATATTCTTGAATCTATATTTATATTTTGTGTATACATGTATTCCTATAAAACATTTGAAACTCTGATAGATACTTCAAAGCTATTAGCTGAGCTTTTTATTTTTTATTTTGAGACAGGCTCTCACTAAATCACTAAGTTGCTAAGGCTGGGCTCAAACTTGTGATCCTCCTGTCTCAATTTCCCAGAGAGTTGGGATTAAAGGCATGCGCCACCATGCCCAGCTTATTAGCCGTATTCTTATCAAGTTACACTCATAAAATAGTGAGGGAGGATGCCAAATTCTCTATACTCTTGCCAGTATCCAGGTTCCTGCCCATTTTACCAGGGATTGAACACAGGGATCATATAGCTACACTCCCAGCCCTTTTTAATTTATTTTTAAGACAGGACACCTCGCAAGTGACCGAGATTACAGACATGCATCACCAAGCCTGGCCTCTAGTTGTCTATAATAAGTGGCATACAGAGGAGAATCATGTGGGATACTTTTACAAAATATAAATGTCAGAGTCTATCTCCTGACAATTATAATTTAATAAATCTGGAGTGGTGTTCGCAACTTGAGTGTTTTAAGACCACATTCCAGCTGATTGGGACACACATTTTTTATTGGATCACTCCATTCTAATCCTTGTATTTAATCATTGCTTTATACTCTTATTATAATCAATGCACTTCTTCAGAAGGTATGCCTACACTATGTAACAATGCTACAGAATACAGAAGCATTTGCTACCTGACCACCCTGCTTTGTCATAAAGTTTGACAAGCCCACGTCTCAAGAAAGAAAAGTAATGGGCAGCCCATGTATTATTTTGATATTTTCATTTAGAAAACTCAAAGCAGGGAGGACAAACCAATTTTTACTACTGTATCAACTCTGATGAGATGGTTGAAGCCGTGTGGAATACTGTGAAATTCTGAGGTGACACATCAGTCAATTCCGTGACTGATTAATAAGGTCTACCATCTTAGATTTACCATAATGGCAGAGAAAGCAATCTAAACCAGCAAATAGAGGGAAACAAAACTTAATACACTTTTCAAGTTATACCCATCCAATTACACAGTTGCTGTTTATTCTGCTGTAAGAAAACAAATAATTATGGATGTTCTAAAACTAGAAATAAATAAGAAAGCATACAAGAAAAAAATTATACTCCAGGAACTACTAGAGGTAGGAGATGATATGAGAAGAGTAAAGAAATAGCACTCTCTCATTTTCTTAACATCTATTTTGGATCAGGCACCTTATCCACTATTTTACTTAACATGTTCCTGCCAGCTTGAACCACTGGTGGTACATATGTGACTGTCCCATTGGGCAGCTTGTATTACTGGTGGTACAAATAGATCTAATCACTTTTACTGGTCTTTTTAGTAATAAAACAATAATGGACTGAATCTAGTTAGCTGCTTGAATCAAACAATTACTGCACAAATATAAATATAATTACTATTCATCCCAATTAAAAATTATAATCAACAAATGTATTTCATTAAAAGAATAATTTATATTAATGAATAATATATCAAGAATTAAGTCTCTGAATTTTAAAATGGAAATCTTACAAGTACACCATTGCTGGTATATATACTGTAATATGCATTTACAATTGCTCTACCACAAATTAGCTGTATTACAATTTTTGTATCTTTTTAATGTTTTCCTTAAGGAACTGTAATGATGACATCTGGCCTGCGAAATCAACACTTTTTTTTTTGCACTATTATCATCAAAGATCCCCCCTGAGGAGCAGTACAGTTGGAGGGCAAAGGGATGATCAAATTTGTATCAGAGCTGCCCAACAGTGAGACTAATACTTGCCAGAGAGGTACAGTATTGTGATCCTGCTTCACAGGTGAAACAGACAGGGCTTCAGGTGAGTTACTGGCCTCCATAAATAGTAAAGGGACAGAACTAGACTTTGAATTGAAGCCTGTCTGACTCTAAAGCCCATGATTTTTACCACTACTCCATTTTCATTTCTCAAGTGACAAGTTTCTCAAGGATTCCTTTCTTTTGTTCTTGTGCTTTATTCCTAGCAAAGGCCAAAATTAACAACTACCCTAATAGCCACCATTCGCATTTAAATGGTACTGTGCAAATGCTGTACACCATTTTAAGCACCCTACGAAGTTCTGCAAGTAATCTTCCCAACAACTTCCAAGTACATACTATCTCCCATTATGATGAAGAAACAAAGGCACAAAGAAGTTAATCAAGTAAACATGGCTGGTAGGTGACAGAACTGGGCTTCAACCTAGCAGTCTAATTCATTCTGGGAGTCTGATTTGTATCCTACTGACTGGCAGTGACAATGTTAGAAATATTTTTTTTTGTTTGTTTTTTGAGACAGGGTCTCACTGTATAGTCGAGACTGATCTGGAACTCACTATGTAGCCCAGGCTGGTCTCGAACTCACAGCGATCCTCCTGCCTCAGCCTCCTGAGTGCTGGGATTACAGGTGTATACCACCATACCCGGCAGTAGAAATAATTTCTTTGTATCTTAAGAATTGAAACATTAATTTGGCCCTTGGCAAAAAAGTATAACTCACAGCAACAGAACATAAGATGGGGATGTCTTAAAATTCTGTTATGAAGCCGGGTGTCGTGGCACACGCTTGTAATCCCAGCACTCAGGAGGCTGAGGCAGGAGGATCACTGTGAGTTCGAGACTAGCCTGGGCTACATAGTGAGTTCCAGGTCAGTCTCAGCTACATATTGAGACTGTCTCAACACCTGCTCCCAAATTCTGTTATGGAGCACACAGTATGAATTAAAAATTTCTCACTTAGTCAGGTGTGGTGGCTCATGCCTATAATCCCAGCACTTAGGAGGCTGAGGCAGGAGGATCACCAATAGCCTGAATTACATATGAGTCTAGACCCTGTGTCCAAAAAAAAAAGAAAAGAAAAAAAGAAAAAGCCGGGCGTGGTGGCACATGCCTGTAACCCCAGCACTCAGGAGGCTGAGGCAGAGGATCACTGTGAGTTCAAGACGAGCCTGGGCTACATAGTGAGTTCCAGGGCAGTCTCAACTACGTAGCGAGACCCTGTCTCAAAAAAAGTTACACTGTATACCTTAAATGTACCAATAAAATTAATTAATTAAAAAAATCCTAGAAAACAAAACATTCTCATTCTTACGTCAAACTTGAAGTCATGTTAATAACATTAACACACAGTAAGATGTATCCTGTACTTCGGGTTCTCACAGCTGTCATATACAAAATCATCTTTCCAACTGTCTCCCAAATTGAAATCCACAGTGCTTTTCAGACCTATATTTTCAGAGACTCAAGTTTCTGATGCTTTTGAGTTCCAAACATAAGTCTTTAAAAAGTTTGATATTTTATCTTTTTTCTTCTCTAGCCGTAACTCTGAACATTCCACTTCAGTTCGCTAAGAAAATAATTAACATTGGGCTGGGGATTTAGCTCAGCGGTTCGGTGGCCTGCCTTGCAAGCTCAAGGACCCGAGTTCAATCCCCGGTACCAAAAAGAAAAAGAAAAGAAATAACGTTATCATCTTACAATAACATGAGCGCGGAAAAAAAAAATTGCCAACCCAGTTGAAGGCGCTTCTCGTAAGCAGGTTACTATTACTGGCTCGACTGCCACTATTAGTCTGGCCCAATATCTAATCAATGCCAGGCTTTCCGCTGAGAAGGGTATGGGGTGCAGCTAGAACAGTGTAGGTTTGCTCATAACCCTCTTCTGCTGCTTTCCCATGATCCAACTCTATAATTTCTGGTCAGTGATTCCAGGTTTTAAATAATTTGTAAGTATTCAGTTTCTATACCTTATCATCTGCTAAGAATTTAAAAGTCACATTTTCTGTTCAGGTTATGCTGGGATCAATATTTAGTTTTATAAGCTTTTCCCTGTTTTTAGTTTGTTTTTGGTTTTTTGGCTCATGGATTTTGTTTGTTGATAACAAATTAAGAGTGGAATGTTAATAAATTTCAGTTTAGTTCTGTAATGTTGAGAATTTAAGAATTAAAAAATGGATTGGAAGCTGGGCATGGTGGCGCACACCTGCAATCCCAGCACTCAGGAGGCTGAGGCAGGAGGATCGCTGTGAGTTCGAGACCGGCCTGGGCTACATAGTTCCAGGACAGTGTCAACTACCTAATGGGACCCTGTCTCAAAAAAAAAAATTGGTAAAAATAAAATAGTAATGATATGAGTGTTTCCAATCACAGTGTTTTCCTTGCATTGTGTGTGTACACGAACTGTACGCACACACTGGGGA